AAACTGGAATAGTATATTACATGCATTATATATGTTACGGGCAAAGTATACAATTAGGGTATTTTCTACAATCCCGGGCATTGTATAAAATGGCCTTCATATATTGGGGAATATAGATAATATAATATTTATTAGTAAATTATTGTCAAAATATCAGAGTCAGATTAAGCACTGATTATTATTTGTAGATTTGGATAAGCTAATGTGTTTTTTTGTTTGTTCTTATCGGTTTTTTTAAATGGAAAAGTTCACATATTAAATGTGAAATGTTATGATTGTAATGTTTATCGTACCTATATACCATAATCTATAAGACTTTTTACCAATACGAATTAATCAGTGGCGTAACTAAGGGGATGCAAAGGAGTTTTTAACACCTCTTAGTTCAAATTTAGCACCCCTTACTTTTTTATACCTAACTATTATTGTTTTAGTAAAATTCCATGGCTCTGTGTCTGTGAGGCATTAACAGTTTTAACATGTTTTAGAAGTCTAGTTACGCCTACGGGGTTATCTCGTAAAATTAATTTTATAGTAACCACGAATCATTTTTATGATGTAGTTCAATTAATTATTAACTTATAATTAAAATATGGCAAAGTTTAATACAGATTTAAATGATTTGTCAAAAAAAAAGTTCAAATAATTCATTTTTTTACCAATTAAAAAAAAAAATACCCGGAAACGGTACATGCGAAAATAAGTGATACAAAAATTATAAGGATAACTTATATTTTCTAATAATATAAATATTATAATTATTATTATCTATATTTCCCAATATACGAAGACCATTTTATTTATGCCCAAATTGTATACTTTGCCCGTAATATATACAATTTAAAATAATACAAAAGAAAAGGCTGTCAAAGTGTCAACAAAATGTGAAGTTTAAATAAGGAAACTTGCTTATGATAAATTGGTGAAAAAGATTTTTTTTTCATTTTTAAGTTACATAAAATTACTCAAGCAAAGAAAAAGAGAAAATACTAAATATTGTAGAAAACTTACCCAAATTATTTAGCAATATATTTTATAAATCAGTGGGTATAGTTTCAAGGTTACACAAAAAAATATTAAACTTAAGCTTGCAACAACGTAAATACTACAATTTTTAATAAGAAAACATTATATTACTAATATATATCCGTATGTTGCTTTACGTATTTTGCTATCTATAGTCTACACCATTTACAAATAATAGTACAAAACGTTCTTTTTTAACACTAAAAAAAAATACAAGATTCTGCTCAGCCTTAGCGGTACCCACTATCAATTTAAACTGAAGTGACCACTTTTATTAGATTTTTAAAAAAAATCGATGTTTATGCTACTTCCTAATCAAAAAAAAAAGGAAGTTTTAAATTTTTTATTATACTAATAAAATTATTTTCTTTACGATAATTTAAATTTCGTTTATAATAATATACTAGGTATGATTTATATTGGCAATTTTTAAGAGATGCTTTAGTAATAACAAAAGTTATTTTTACGGCTTGTGAGGAGAAAATATGTGTTGTTCCTATTCTGAAATTTCTAAATACACCACTGAGTAAGTAATCGAGGTAAATTAGACAAACGTACATTTTATTATAAAAGAAATGAATTTCAAATTTTATATTTTTTATTTGTTTTAATTAGCTCAGCTAGTCTTGCTATAGCTTTAGAGTATTAGTATAATACTGAGTAATATATAGCATAGGTACTTAACATTAGTTGGCTTTTTTCGGAAAAAATAAATATAATTATGTAAGCCGATATCAGGAGATAGTACCTACCTCTAGTCGCTTTGAGGACAAATCAAAGATGTGGTGGATTATGAGGTCAGCGCTGTACATAATTCGGGTTATACCTAGGTAAAAATTAGGCACCGGATTTATATGTACAAAAAATTCTCAAAATATGATTCTAAAAATGCTGTAATAATATACATGTAATATCACTTGTATTTAAACCTTCAGTTAAGGTTTATTTCTCCTTCCAAAATCTTAGAAATTGAGTATTTGAGTATATTGTCATCTTATCTTTGGCAATAACAACCAGTCGTAATTTTATCACTATGTTGTGTCTGTGATCGCGAATATACGTCGAAAAAATAAATATAATACGTGCTATAAATAATAATATGCATTATACAACTAAAAAATAGGTAAAACCGTTGAAATATGCATCATACGATTAGTGTTATTGTCGTTATTGGTATAAGAAGTAAGAACGATCTAAATTCTAAATCGAGAACAATTTTCATCAGATTTCAAAAAACTTATTCCAATATTTGCATATATAAATTCGATATAAACCCGATCCTTTATAATAATTTTATGAACATATTGGTTTAGGCGTACCTTCGTGATTCCTACCTGGAAAAGTAGAATAACACAGAACACAGTAACACAGATTTGTACACGGTTAACCGACCAAGTGAGTGTTTTTGTAGAAAAATTATTTACAGAAATCGGTGTAAGAACTGGACAGAATACAAAATACACTGGACACGTTATGCATTTTCCTATCTTATATTTTTTTTTCTCAATTTTCTACGGACACAAGTTAGATCTATGACTAAACTGTTCTTAATCAGATCATGTTGCATATTTATATTATAGTTTTATACACATTAATAAACCATATGATGATTGAATAAGTGATTAGGTACTGATTACAATTCAGAGTTCATCCGTTGTGTGGATATTTTTATTCGGGTAGGTATCTAACTGTAGAATATATTTTTATTAAGATATAACTTATGCATTTCTTTAATTAAGTACTACTACATGAGTTACCAATTAGTGTAAATGAGATAAACCTACAATAGATAAGTTACTATGTGCTATGTTCCATTTTATATTTAAAAACAACTCAGTGTCTCGGTCCAATAGTTCTTAAAATATTTTATTTTAATATTGATATTATTAATTTTAAAAATATATCTTCTGAGTTTTACTGTTGGGTGACTTTCCTCCTCACGTCTCCATTTCCTTATAGTTGTATACTTGTATTTGTATATTATATTATATTATATTATTAGTATAGTTTATTATTATTTTTCTTTTTTTGCACATATTATGCTCATTGTAAATACTTTTACAAATTATATATTATAATCAAATAAATGTTAAAAAAAAAAATATATATATATACCTATTTAAACGATTAAATAGTTTCGCCGAATCGAACTACTATTTTATAGCAAGCTACTCTGTTAAAATAATAATTGAAATTTGTGTCAAGTCTAATATTTTTATTTCTGTAAATAATTTTATAGGTATATAAAACGATAGTATAGGTATTTTTTATTTTTTTTTTCACAGACATACTGTATGTGTTAACTTTATCCTACTAAAGTAAACAATTTTAAAATGCTTATAACTTGATTTTAAATTAATACCTATAGGTACATTTAAATCTTATCTTTAATTTTGATAATAGATCCACTCATTTCAATATTATAAATGACAATCATTACAGTGGCATGCTTAAGTAGGTCTATTTTGTTCGGTAGACTGTTTAAATTATAGTCTGTTAAGTTCGACGTAGGAAGTAGGAACAATTTGGCTTATCTTGTAATGAGTGAATCTTTACATTTTAACCATTATACATTGTCTTGGTTTGTTTTTTTTTATCATGAATCATGAAAATATATAAAAAGCAAATAATTAGTAATAATATTGATTAAATTATAATATACAATTGTTTAATTAATTGTAAAATACTTTAAGTTATAAAAGAAACAGCACCAAAAGATTTATACACAACTATTAAAAAAAAAAAAAAAATGTTAGATTAAGACTAATGACTAATGAGTAATGACAATATCATCTCTAAATCTTGACCATACATAATTCATTTCAATAAATACATTTAAACATGTCTTAAACAAAATACTTAATCAGTCAGATAAAAATTGTGTGTTCTACCTCATAAATATGCCACTGTAAAATGAATTCTGATTTTAAAGTTATCTAGATTATGTGCTTGTAAGACTAAGAAAATAAATATACCATGTATGTATGACTTCATCTTAAATATTTTCTTTAAGTGCAATAAATTAGCATAGAAAATATTCTCCGCGAGTTATTTACAATATACAGTTAAAATATTATACCAATTCAGAATAACTATGTGTATTGTATTCTAATGATATGTTATCATAATTATACATATACAATTTTTTAGTTATTAGTTATTATATAATTAAATACATTATTCAAAATTGTTTCATGACAATTATTATTTGATATATAATAAAATTATCATTATTAGAAACGAGTTTAAGTTATCTTTTTTTGTACAAAAGAAGAAAAAAAATTATAAGAGTTATTAATTGAAAATAAGTCAAAATTATCAATTTACTATAAAATAGATCTTAACAAAAAAATAAAATAAATACTAAATAAGTTTTTATAAAATATTAACATCTGTCCGACAGTATTATAAATAAAAAAATAAACAGAAGTCATTTTATTCTTTTTTATTTCTTTTATTGTTAAGTGTAGAAATTTTATCAAATATATAATTATATCTGCTTTATTCTTTAATTTAATATAATAATTATAATGTAATATTTTAAAACATATTGTTAAATTTCTTAATAGAATTACAAAAAATATACTATCACAGTAAAAATAAACTAATCAAACTATTTAATGATAAAAAGAATTAGTGATATTAATTTTTTTTAACATTTGTCAATATTAATTAGTAAACAGTATTTTGCATTAAGGTTTTGAATAAAAATCTATAATCAACTTAAAACAACAATAACCAAAAAGGTAATTCTTATGGTAAGTGGTAACATAATGCTCATTTAATTGATTCAATATTATACTTGCAGTACTTGCACTAAGTAGTTTTAAAGGGAATAGAAGAAAATTAATCTCGAATATACTTTTTAACACACATAATATTACACAATAAGTCTTACATTGTTAATACAACTAATATTTGGTTTATTTAAATAACATACCTAAAAGTATTATTAACCCAATCGGTAAACAATATAGTCAACAATAATTTTTATTTATTTGGCATTATTTTAATATTTTCATCATCACATATAAAATGACCTAACTTTTATGTGTAACATGAATAAACTGTTGATCATTAAATTGTACTTTTCCATTTCTAAACATAGGTTCTTCAGTTTGTTTCCAATGCTCAAAGCAAAATTGTGGCACTATTATACTGACTTCTTGGCGAACTGATTCATCAGAATCTGTAATATAAATAGTTATTATTTAATTCAATATATATAAATTTGTGAATTATTCTTTATTATTACTAATACTGATAAAAGATTTAAAATAATGTTTTTTAAACAAAATCAATCTATAAACAAACTGTAACAAAAAAGTAAAGTAACTGATTGGTATATTAAATACCAAACCATGATTACTTTTATTGTTTAAATTAGTATCATAGTTGCAATATATGTATTGATGGACTCTTCTTTATGACATATATATTTAATTGATATAAGTACAAACTACCTATGTAATAAATAAAAAAATTATTAACTAAAGATTTAGAAAGATGAATAAAAAGTAATAAAAAAAAAAAATACTTAAAAGAATATTTTCAAGGAAACTAAAAAAACCCCATTAAATAAATTTAAAATTATAACTTAATATTTTTGGAATTGTATAACTTATTTTATGACATATCAGTTATTATTTTTAAACTAAGTTCATTTATATCTTTCTTTTGATTCATAATATAACTTTTTAATAAATATATTTTATGAAACTCCTTTTTTAAATAAGTGAAATGAATTGAATATTAGATGATCTCATAATTTATTTAATTTAAGAGTCTATTTTGAATATTGTCAATACAAATTTTAATAAATAAAACAATATAAATATTAAAAATAAAATAATAAAATAGCATAATCAATATAAATTTTTCTTTCCAATGTAGGATAATACTTATACTGCCAAACTTTTTTTAATGTTTATATACATCTTATTTAAGCTGCCTAAAGCATGAACATTAAATATTCTTTTGGTACTAATAAATATAGGATAATAACATCTATAACAATTAGAAAAAAATTAATTTAATTTAATTTAATTTAACTTATTTCTTTTTACTGTTAAAAGCACTGTCTAATTATTTTAAGGTATTATTATTAGTAATGAGTACCTACATGAATATTATTTATAATAAGTAAAATTCTGTGATCAATACATCAAATAAATCCAAAATTACCAGATCCGTGTGTGGCGTTTCTAGTATCTGTTAGTCCATGTTTAGCTCTTATAGAATCAGGATTACTCAGCTGGCATTGGAAAACTTTAGTTGGACCCATTAAATGACGCCAAACTGAAATTGCATCTTCTCTAGCCAGTATATATGCTTCTGATGGTCCACTATGTGATTACAAATTAGGTAAAATATTCTTAAGTTATAAAAATCAAATTTTACCTTGTCATGAATGTGATGAGCCTGTTATAAAAAAACTTTGTTTTATGCTCACTGTAAAATTGTTTAGCCTGTTCCAGTTTAATAGTTTGGCGCTTTGACCGTACAACATAAAAACCATTATCCAGTATTGTCCGTCTGATATCCTATTGAAAATATCAATGGTATACACCATTATGAAGTTAATTCATGTACACAATATTATTTTTTACAGGACATCAACAAATTCAAATTAATTTAATAAAAATATCTTTGCGTTGACCCACAAGAGAAGTAAACCGTGTTCTGACCAAAATGCATCTGAATTGATCTTCCTCCGCCTATTTGACATACCAACAATGTTGGTGTTAGTTACATCGGCCACTGTAATCAGTATACATGCGTGAAATGATTAACTTCCCTTGTAGGCCAAAATATATAACACACCCATAGTATTAGGTACAAAGGTACAAAAAAAAAAGAAAATGTATGCACATTTTCTTTTTTTTTTTGTTATTACCATAGATGTAAAATATATCAACTTGGCTACCTATATCAAAAAAAATAAAATAATTTATAAATGAAAAATTTTAACAATACGTACAAGTAAAGAAAATGGACAAGACACCACATGAGGTTTCATGATGGCTAAAGTCAATTGCAAAGGCTTAACAGATGTCATATCAGTGAAAACACTTCATCCATTTCTAATATGAAATAACTTGATGACAACATTATATTATTATAAATAACTATTAAATGTACTTACATTATTTCGTCTACTCAAAAATATAAAAAATATTATAAATTATAATGATATACTATTTTGCTGGCCATCAGGTAATAGATTTATAATGATATGTTATCGTCCTCTTATCATATGTTGATAACATATATGATATGCACGTGTTGTTACAGTGTGAGACAAATACAATTTAATAAATGCAAACTAATATTGACTTGGCGTCATAATGACATACCTAAACCGAATAATATCAATGTTATTGAAATATTTTTCTTGAACAAAGAACAGTCATGACTAATTATTATTGCAAGTTGAAGGTATTAAGCAACAAAATAGGTAATTAATAACGATAAACAAGAAGTAGGTATGTTTTTACTTTTTTATGACTAACTAGAGTAGGTAGGTATAAACTATAAAACTATGATTATGAACATGAGAAGTTGAATTCAAATTTTAAAATACAAATTTAAAATAGTATTTTTCATAAATTGGTCGAAAACAGAAACTTAAAAATCTCAACAATAAATATATATTATACTCAATTTTTTATCAACATATCAAGTTAAATTTCTACTAAATCGAATATTTAAATAAAAAATAATGATTATAGTTACCGATTTTTTGGAATAAAAAAAAATATTAACAGATATTTGTAGAGATTCAAAATATTTCATTACTAAGTTGTAAGAGTATTATTGTATACAATACATAATGAAATTTTCAAAATATTTAGATTAATTTTAAATTATTTATACTACGATCCTATTCACATTCTACACGATACCTACATGATCATGTCAGTAGATACGTCACTCGTCAGTAGATATTTTAACTTAGACCTTAGTTAATAAGTAATAACGTATAACAACTAATTGCTAGTTATAGTAATATTATATTATAATTTTATATTTATTATTAGATATATTATAATGGATTATATTCATTTCTTGCAAAACTCCCTTGGTTTTTTTTTTTAATATATAATAATTAATATGTCTATATGTTACATTATAGTTCATATTTTTAAATACATCTGTTTTTTTAAATAATAAAACTATTTTTTTTAATGAAAACAATAATTTTAGAATTTTTAATGTAGTTTTACTTATCTAGTGTCTTTTATTTAAATACATTTTTTTTAAATATAACTTGTATAAAGATACATTATTTTAGAGCAACTTCTAACTTATACCTATTTGGTTTTTTAATTTATTAAATAATTTTAAATTTACTCAGTCCTGCTGGTAGCTATACTTATTATAATAGTTTTAAAAATAAATTCTAATGCAGGCTAAATACTATATGAACAATTTTATAAATCACATTGAGTTAAATAACGTCAAGGTACAACATATTTGCTTCACTACGTTTACATTGAACATAATTTAAAAATATTTGAAGTGTGTTATCTACGTGTGATGTGTGATAGGAAGGTAGTTCGTTCCTATAAGGTACCTATAGGACAATTGAATATAATACCAATACCTAAACTTATACTTATACTATGATACTTAATTAGTATCATAAAGTTAAAAGTGTTATTAAAACGGTTTTATTATTATTATTATCATTATCATTAGCAAATATCAATGATTATTATTCAATTTTCATAAATTAGTGATGTGATAACATTAATTTGTATGATATCAACAAGAGTGCATAATAAAATATATTATGCGCCTATTGGCTATTGTTTCGTGTGTAAATGAGTGAACGAATTATAAAATTTGGTTGATACTTAAAAATTAGGTCAATTAAAAACAACAGCTTTCTAGGTAATTAATTATTGTTAAACACAAAGTGTATCTATTTAACAATATATGTATGATAAAGCAGTTGATAATATAAGTGTTATAAGAAATGGAAAAATCGAAAGTCCTTCGAAATATTATAAACAGGAAACGACCTTGAAAAACAAGTAGGCGCGTGAGGTCCAAAATCGTAGACTGGTGAAATTGGACGAGCAGCATGTGTTTGCCATTGTAAATATTTATAATCGAATTGTTACTCATCACATCGTAATTTAAACAACACGAACTCTACGGAAAAACATAAAAATTAGTTTAGATTTATAAATTATACACGTTAAACGTAGGTACAATTTATCATTGTTATTGTAACTTTATTACATTTTTTTTTACACCGAAGAATATAATAGCCGAGAGGACTTATCCAATTAATGGGAATACGTGTTTTTAAGTTTTTTCTTTTGGCAACAAAATTATCTAGGTTCATTGACTTTAATAAGTCTATTAAAATAAACTTTTTAATAACTTATAAGAATAAATATTTATATAGAATTCGACGAAAATAGAAACAAAGCAAGTTGGGTTTTGATTATCAATCATTGAGATAATTTAGCAATGAATTGCGTAGATTTATGACCTAAATTTGCGTATAGTAATTTAATTTCATAAATGTTTCGTGAAATTAGATAATTAAATCTAAAAACATAGATATTTGAAATTAAATAAATATTTTACTTGCAATGTCTCATAAAGGTTAAATATAGTTTTTGATAATTATTATTTGCACCATTTGACATTTAAGTCGTTGTATTTATACACGGATACTTAAAGTGAAGCTAATTTTTACTTTATAAAACATAACAAAATATTATTGACGCAAAAATTGTTGTTTGCTTGGTAGAAGTTTTCATCGTATGGTAATAAAATGAACATATTATGTTCTTTTAGTAAGACACTTTGAAATGTTTGTGTTATAATTTTCCACTGTTGAAATACGTGTTTGTAAATAGAGCTATAAATATTTCTGAAAATATCCTGATGAACATTTTCGAGACAGTAATAAACTCTAAAAAACGGAACATTTAAAGTCAATCACCATAGCCATGTCTAAAATTTACGAAATTCGAGGTAAAATATTTAATAACACGTTGGAATCCATGGTAACTAGCGAGTTTATAAAATTAATGGGGATTTAAAAAATAAATAAGGGTTTCTATACGTTTCGGTTTAGTTAAGACTTACCGGCTTTTGAATATCGTTGTGGATAAAGTGTTTTTCGGGACGCCAATAGTCTCAGAATTTTAATTTTATTTATATTAAAATTTTTACTAAAATTTTTAATAAAATACAATATTGTTTTGTTAAAATAGGTAAATGATAAGATAATCAAGATGATTATTTATTGATTACTTGACAACATTTATATGATGAAATTATTTTATGGCTTAGTGACAACAATTATTGATAAATTCACATTTATTATTGTTTTCCCGTTCCCAAACGATAATTTTTGTTGTAACTTATCGCTAATCAATAATTTTGTTAGTTACTCATTCCAATTTGTGTGTGAGTCAGTTTTTACTTTCTCATAGAAAAGTCGTCTATGACAAGTCATTGAGTCAAAACATAACTACTGTGTGCGGAACGTATCAAAAAAATGAAGAGTAAAAATTATTGATTGATTCTAAAAGTGTGTTAAGATTTTATCCATAAAAATTATATAATAATATTTTGTCTTAACTTAAGTAAAATAAAATATCATTAAAAATCATTTAAATAATTGTTTGGCGCTTCAATAATATTGAATAATCAACAAAGTATTTGTTTGACGTATTACAACATTTTTTTTTTTTATATGATACATCCTCATATTCTTCAGAATGTAAAAACTATTTGAAAAGGTTTTCTCAGTTCACTACTATTTCTACATTTCTGAACACAGTTATTTTATTTTTGGTAAAAACATTAATTCCATTTAATAAATAATAACTATTGTGAATTATAATAGGTACAGCAAAAGATTTTGTATTAGATTTTAAATTTATTACAATACCTATATTATAAAACAATATAACTATACTTATATAGAAATACATAAATCAAGAGGTGTGTTTGTTTATTGTAACAAAACATAATAACTAAAAAATTGTAATTTTTCACAGTTGTTGGTTTTTTTGGGAATAAATATTTTCGAGAACTTCCAAGCGTGTAGCATCTTAAGACTCTTAAGTCCACATCATACAAACAATTTGACAATTTTATCCAATTAAAGTTAATATTATAAAATAAAGTGTTTTTTTATATTAACACTACTAACCAAGTAATACTAAGTTGTATAATTTAAAGTTTGAATACGGAATTAAATCAAAAATTGGCTAGAAACAAATAAACAAAAATATTATCTATAACAGAATAATAGGTAAAACTTTTCGATATAATTTTTCATGGTTATAAAGATCTACCATAACTGCCATTATACCATATTATACAATCTTAATGCGAAACATTTCAAATGTTGACAAACGATGATTAACACCAGCACATGTGCATATTTGTAATCTTTGTGTACTTTAACGGAATATTATAATGTTACTATTATTTACATTGTTTTATAGTCAAAGTGTAGCTGGAACGCATATTATTCGCGCGCGTGCATTGTAGCTATAAAGTATTATTATACGATATTATTATTATTGAAACTCGCGTGATGTGAAATTCGCATGACATTAATTACCTATACCTAACTAATTTAACTCAGTACTGTTCAATGTTAACGCTAAAGTATTAGTATTTGTAGGTATATTATGTTAATATATTAATCCATGCCTAGGTCTAGATCTATGGTTATTCTTGACTACCGTGATCGCCACAGTATATATTGTCAAACTGTCGTACTACTGTCAAGACTCAACATTCAAGATGATATACCAGGTATATTATACCTATATAGTTGTACTATATGACGACTAGTGACGACTATATGAAAAGATACATAATATAGTTTATAATGTGTACACTAAATATATACTGTGTAAATGTTTAATATGTATATATTATGTGTAGGCATACGTACGGCCACGTACCTATATTATATTTATTTTAACTATATTACACGTTATGTCCTTACCACGTGATGTGGGTGATATCTAAGGGGGAGGGGTGGGGGAACTTGGACGAGTGCGTTTTTAATAGATGAATCGAGACGGAAAAGTGTGCGTTTAGTTGCATAACGTCTTTTGGAAATGACGCGCTGCCGCTCATGGTCGAAGCGTCTCCTACGGCCGTCACAGGTACCTGAACCAGTCGTTACTGCCGCCGTCTTGTGTTCGTTGCTGATTTTCCTTGTGCACGTGCCGTCCACCAGATCCTTCAGTATTTCATGGTAACTAAAATTGTTATGTCTTTCAATTTTTTTTATATATACATAAAACGTGAGAATAAATTAAAAACTACTTTAAAAAGTTTTAACTATATTATAAGTAAAGCGCGGATTTTTATGCACTTAAAAGTATCGAAATATGCCATATAATATGCAGTAAAAATCATGAAAATATGCAGTCAAAATTATGAAAATATGCAAGAATTTTTTATTTATTTAAAATTTACAATAAAACTTATAATAATTAATTACTTAAATACTTAATAATAAAAAATTTAGGGAATTTTCTAAACTTAATTTATTTTTAAAATTGTATTTATTATTAAAATGAATAATCATATGCATTTCAAGTTTTTCTTCTGTGAAGCTGTATCGTTTATCGGTTTACATATTTTTAAAGACTGAGAACGAACGTTCGACGTCAACCGAAGTTATTGGGGCATATTTGAAGCAACTTAGTATTATCGGATCTTGATAAAGTTCTTTGAGCTGAACGTTTTCGCTTAATAACACTGAATTAATTTTTCGTAGAATTTTCAGACCTTCATTTTTATTGGAAAGCTCGTTTAATTTTGTTGTAAGTGTTACACCTTTCGATCCAGAAATAGAATGCATTTTTTCTTTCGTTTCGTCAATTATTGAAAAGCTTAGATGTAAAGTTATATTTCGAGTTTTCAGTTTTTTTTATGACTATCACTAAAAATGCCAAATGAGTAGATATAAATGTTAAATCATTCTACTTGTCAAAATATTATCTTATACACTTTTTTAAATTTTTTTAAATTTTCGCTTCAATATGCAATAAATTTTGAATTTTGCCAAAATATGCAAAAATATGCAATAACCTTTAAATATGCAGAAATATGCAAAAAAAGATTTCACCATTAGCTTCAAATTATGATGATTCGTGGAGATAACTGACAAAAATTCAAAAATATTAAAAGGAAAAAAATATGCAATTGCATAGAAATCCGCGCTCTAATTATAAGTTATAACCAAGTCCCTGAAATGTAGAAAATAACTAGCGTTTAGATACAATTATAAATATCAATATATTTATACAGGTGTTATAACAGTATAAACTTCTTATTTATGTGAAGGTTGGAAAACCCGGAGAGCTTGAATAATATACTTATAAGTAGGTGTTATATCGTTAAAAAAATTACATAGGTAGTAACAATATATATATAAAATAAACAATAATATTTGTAATATGAATAAGAAAATAATTTATATATGTATGGTTAATGTATAAAAAATGTAAGGAAAATAATAATTTCTATTTTGACTATACCGCAAGTAATATGTCATAATGTTATTAACTTATCTGTTGATAAAATATAGTGAATATTGTATAAATATATTTTAAAGACTTCTAAAATGATTTAATCGTAAAAAAAAAGTTTATGTATATCAAATAACCATTGATTTTTTTATTTGGTTGTGGACTCATTACTTAGGTTAATATTATTAGTAATTACTTATTTTATAAGTCGTAAAAATCAATTTTTTTTTTTTACACTTTAGTAAATAGTAAAAATATAAGATATTACATTCATCTTAATGTTAGATTCAGTTTAAAACAACTAAAAATGTTAATACTATAAATATTTGAATAGTTAATTAATTATTATCTTACCGAATAAGATGCGTCCGTTTATTATGTTTACAATGCATCGATATAACCAAACAAACCACCTACTATTATAAATATTTAATTATAAGAATGATATATCAACATTATTTATACGTTTTATATTATATTATGATGTTGATATATTGTACACCTCATTACTAATAAAAAAGAAAAATTTAAAAAAAGTGTATATGTATATATTATATATTAGTATATAACCTAATTTTTAATAATAAGTAGTTATAAAGATTTAAATGGTTTTTATTATATAGATCTATTAAATCATATTATCTAAATTTATGATATTTCGATTTATTTAAGTAGTAAGTACACAAATGTTTAATAATTAATAAGATGAATGTCACATTTTTTTATAGGATTAGAGCTTTGATTATTATAAATTAAAATAATTAAAATTAAAATTCATATAAAATTCAACTAAAACATTATGTTGTTATAAAATTTTCAATATCACAAACATTTTTATACCTAATATTTTTCTGTTAATTATTCTTATTTTTATGAATTTATAGTTTTTATATTTTACGGTATATTTAGTAATTAATTTTAATAGCAATCTAAAAGTGAAAAACGTCTGAAAGTATAAATTACTATTTTTATTTTTACGTACAAATAAATATTTAACACAAAAAAATTGTAATCCTTTTTGTAGTTTTTCTGGTTTTCTTTTTTATTTGGTTAATAACTATACCTACTTATGCAGTATACTTATTATTAGTTAAATATATTTTTGAACATTTGCTATCTACAAACAAGTGTTTAGCTGCAGTATTATTATTATTATTATTTTAATTTTTTTTTAATAAATCGTGTACACTTACAACGTAAGATTTAATTCTATATTAATTAATATTACTTTTACCTATAGAATATTTCAATAATTAGATAATTTGTAAATGTGATGATTATAAATGTAAGTACCTACTTTGATAGATATCTAGTTAAATATATAATTTTCTTCATGATATTGCTAAGAATAACTAACTGTACATAGAAAATCTTTGTATAACAACTTATCTTAGTGGACTGACGGACTATGGAACAAGGACTGGGTATATGCCAGAAGGCGTAATATTACATTAAAAGTTTGGTTTTTTTTGGCAGAATTTGTATATTTTCATAATATTAAAAATTATAATAATAATAATATACTTGTTAAATGATAAAGCTTGGTAATAAGTGTCAACATTACAAATTATATCGAATATAAGATTGATAATACGATGACAAAATACAGCTTCATTTAAACGGAACTGGGTCAGATTAATGAACTGCGAACAAAGTTATCAACTATTATACAATAATGTCCGAAAGAACAAAATACTTAGAACTATGCTACATTACCACTTACCAATACACAAAAGAACGCATCGGAGACAAAACGGGAAGTGTACTACGCTATATAATACTACCTACTAAATATTTAAAACTAATAATTGCAATATAAAATAAAACATACTGACATTACAAGTTTATATTACAACTTTTAACATATTTTTGTATGTGCCTACACTCCACAATCCGTTCTTACTTTCACCGTTTAATGTACATGTTGTAAAATTTTGTTCTCGTTTTATACAATAACACAAGTTCCTGCGATATTATATATATATTGAAAAAATATACATATTATGAGTGTGTGTAAATTACAAAATTATATTTAGGAATAACAATAATCACGCGTATGACACGTTATAACCCCTAAAACCAACGATAAAAATACGTGTCAAGTAAAAATATTGACCACATAATTTTATATTTTTGGTTCGCATTCTACAACAGTACGACCTGACCTCGTCAAGTTCATGAACACAATGAGATGCGTGAGAGTCAGAATTCGCAATGTAAAATTTCCTACTAATTACTTAAAATCGTGTACACTTTCACTGGGAGCGCCGCCACATCAGTGTGTAAAATTCTCATGTTTCTTCTTCTTCAATAGGTACTATGTTTACGATGGCATTTATATTAATTATCAGAATTTCAGCCAATCAAAAAATTAAATAATTAAAGACAAACATGTTATTTCGTTTTATTCAAAATTAATAACCACATTATGTATATCTGACTTTATATTCATATTAAATGGTGAAAACATTTTTTTTTTCAGCATAACATATATCAACAGTTAATGTAATAGAAATGTTACTCATAATAAATACTACTTAGGAAGTACTGAATATTATCAGAATATGTATATATAAATTTTTTTTCTAAATTAAAAATAAAAATAAATAAAATACTATAGTATCCTTTTAATCGTGAATTATTAAAAGTATCTCTTACTCGCGTAAAATGTGAGTGGGTTTTAAAGTTTTAAGCAATTCTGGAGGGCCCAACCTATGTGAACTAATTTAACGTGGAATACAACGTCCTCTTAGTAATAAAAGAAAATGTCATAACTCATAATACTAATATTTTTTTAAATTTATAATAGGTAGGATCATCATTTATCATATATTACTGTTAATACTTAACTGTTTAAAGACAATAAAAAAATGTCATGCTGCAAGAGGGTTAAGCAGTGTAAAAACAGTTCAGCCTCCGTGTAGTGATTTTACGTGGAAAAAAAAAATACAAAAATGACAAAATAATGCATTGCTAGCTTAAAGATTATTTGATCATTTATCAATAATTAAAATATTTAAAGTAAAAATAATATTTTGTTTTATTCAAAAATAAGAAAGATAAATAAAATTAGTTAACCATAGTATTATAAATATAAAAATTTCAGGGTGGGTGTATTATATCATAATTTGGTTTATATTATTTAATTTTCATTGGTATCTTTTACATCTCAAGCGGAACAATAATTTAATGCCGCATTTATGGCTTAGTATTTTTTTTTTTGTAGCACCTAAGTAGCATTAAATATTAGAATCGCAGTAAGTATACGTTTTTTTAATACAAAAACTTGTTAGATAATTGTTACTATTAGTTATTACGTATTTTTTTGTTATTTATATAATATTATGTAATTAAATTAAATACTTTTAACTAGCATTAATACCTAATCAAAATTGTTTACACTATAGTTTTAACTTTTTATTTTAATTAATATAGGTTGTAAGGATCTTATAATATTCTTGAAGTATAAATTAACTTCATGAATAATCAGACAAATGTAAAACAGTTGTAAAATAAGTATTTAAGATATTAATAAGTTATTTTTCAATTACACTATATTATATTAGTACATATCATATACAATTTTAAGCAATATTTTGAAAATGTTATAGAACCCTTTTAAATTTATTTCAATTATTTATTAACGACATTATCATATATTATATTATTATCATCTCACTTTTTGAATCTAAAGAATATAATTTTCAATTATAATAAAAATTTAAATAAAAAAATTAAAGTTTCACCTTGAATCTTGACACATCACATGTTTCTGTAGTATAATAATTAATAATGGAATATATTTGTATCAGGTAATATTTTACAATGATAAATATCATATTTTATACTGTATAACAATAGGTAAGTATTTAAAAAAATACATGTTAATTCGGAAATTAATTACTTTAATTCTTAGATTGAAAAAATTATTTTTTAGTAATTTCTATAGTTCATTCATAATTTATATATATGTTAAAATTACTCTATGATGATAAAAAATTAAAAAATAAACCTACAAAGTAATTTTCATACAAAACATGGATTGGCTCTATACCCATCAATATTATCTTACCGAATAACGTAAATCAATAAGTTATATGAAATAAGTAATTGTTAAAGTAATTATATTGAAAATTGTACAAAAATATTATATTTAACATTAAATGTTTATCCATTCTAAATATTTAATTAAAATCATTAGCCTACGTTTGACTATTTAAATATAATAAATAAAAAATTATTTTTTAAGTAACTTATTAATTAAATCTCAAAACTAAAAAAATAATTAGAGGGTATCGTCATGAAGTTATATTATAAAAAACCACATAAGTTAAAAATATAAAAAATATTGTTATCTTTCAATATTACATATTTTTAAAGCGATATTGACAATATTGTTTGTTAATCGATTTTAATTTTATAATAAATATCGTATGTGTACAGTGACGGATCCAAGGGAGGAGGTAATTGGGTAAACACCCTCCCCCCTTGAGTTTAGGTTACCTAACTCATAACTGTCAATCGGGGCTTGGAATGACAATTTATTACCCCCCCCCCCCCCCTAATAAATTTTTGGATCCAGCCCTGTATTTGTATAGATAAATACTATATTTTTTTTGTTCATGAAATACAACAAGTAATGTTAATAACATTTTACCACTTTAATTTTTTTTTTTAAATCAATAAAAGATTCTGCACATCATTTTTATTGACTTTTTAAAATCATAGTTGAAAGAAAGAAAATAAAGTTCATTCGAAGTTTTATTCGAGACAGTAATACAGTATGATACCATATTACAAGATCAAATAGGCCATTTAATACCTATTAATAGGTTAGTATTAAATATTCATCATTAAATATTATACATCATCAAATATTATACAAATTATGAAATTTTCGTTGGAAATTAAAACTAGGCCCTTTTAATCCATTAAAACGTTGCGGTGTCTGTATTTATTCCATTACGTTGCGTAATATATTCATGGTTTCCTTACCAAAGTGAATACGGATGGAATGCAAATAAAATATAAATTATTTAACTATATTTTTTTATGCATAGGTTGTTTGACGATAGTACATACAGGGGACTTTTGTATCCTAAGTACGACGACGATTATACATCGAACGACGAAAGCATAGCGGACGAGATCAACGATGTGTTAGACGAGTTTCGCATATACTGGAATGTGCCCACATTCCAGTGTCACAAGTTTGGGTATAAATTTAATGAAGTGGCTGAATGGGGCATACAGCAGAACGTCGACGATAACTTTCGCGGTGACAAGATCAGTTTGCTCTACGATCCGGGACTATTTCCGGCCCTAATGCAAAGTGGTGGTTCCCGGAACGATCATGTGGTTAGGAACGGTGGTGTACCTCACGAGGGTAACCTTACTAAGCATCTAGAAATATTTACTAAAGACCTAATCACCAAGTTAGTACCGGACCCAAGTTTTTCGGGTGAGTAATCACTGAGCAAATAAATAACAACAATAAGCAGTTATTATTACGAAAAGTAGAAATTTCGCATAATATGTACTTACTTACAAAAAATTTTATGTAATACAATTTTAATTAATTAAAGTGATTTTAATAATATTATCATATAAATAACAAATTATACAAAATAATATTTGCCTAACGTCCAACAATCAATTTAATTATGTGTATAAAGATAATATTATAATGCAATTTAAACAATAGGTATTAAAAATGTTCTTTTTAAAATATAACGAATTACTTAATTAATAATATTAATAATTAAATAAAATAATAATAAAACTAATAATATATTTTTAGTATAACATTAAAAAAAATTATAGACATACAGTAAAATCTGTTTAAGATGCTTTCGTATAATACGATTTCCTGAGTAATACGCTCATTTTCAAGAGTCCCTTGATTTTGATAGCGGTTAATATGTAAATTACTCCGGATAATTTGCTTTGTATTCACGGATAATAATATGTACTATATCAATGATGTTATTTAGTATCAAATTAATAATCACAATAATATACAATATGATTATTGATTCAATAAGGCGCCGCAACTTAGTATACACTATAATGTGTACATAATGATGAGCTTTTAATATACATCACTGAAAACTTGTTTTCTCCCTACAACAAATACATTTGATTAAGTACAAAAACTAAAAAGATTAATTGCATCTTCTGACAAATGACAATGTATATGAAACACTACAAAATCTTAATAAAGTTGAAAACTTCCTCTACTCAAAAAATATTAAAAATGCAAAACAAACAAAAATTGATAATTTTTCTAATGTAAAATAATGTATGTAAATTATAGGTATGTATAAAAATGTAAATTATTATAGATAATATTTAATTTAAAATAATGAAAATAAAATGTAATGATAAGTATGTATGTATAAGTATACTATACTTATAATAATAATACAATATAAATGCAATTATAGTAAAAAATTCAAAATTTTATGTACAATTTTTATTTGTCAATTTTCTGATTTTCCCGCGTACAACGATTTCTCGTTTAATACATTGTTTTTACCTAGTCTCTTGGAAAGCGTCTTAAACGGATTTTACTGTATATATTTTTGTACAATAAATGTTATAACTTATAAAATATATTTACAAAGTAAATAATATTAATGTTTAGGATTAGCTATTATTGATTTTGAACATTGGCGTCCTATGTTTGAAGAAAATTTTGGATCATTATCATTATATAAAGATTATTCCATGGAAATTGAGAAATATAACCATCCGTATTGGCAAAAAGAAGATCTCCAAAGAGAGGTATATATCTTAATAACCTTAACAAAATAATTTCGATATTTTTAAATTGCTATATTGTGTCTCGGTAATAATTCTATTAAAAACGTATTAGACGACATTTCAATTTCTAATGATTAATTAACTGAACATTAAGTTAGTATCTTTTAGAAATGTATTTATACATTTTAGTTGATAATGTTTGTATTACATGTTCAGCTATGTTTGTTAAAAATTTACATATATGCTATATTTTTGAAGCTGTTGAACAGATTTATGCATATAGATTAATGGATTAAATTAAATTTAGTTAATACTTTGTGGGTCGATAAAAATATACAATGTTTACTTCATGCTTTTCAAAATCATGGTACATTCCAAATCTACAGAAAAACTATTTACCTGTCAAAAAAAAAAAAAAAAAAATTGTGTATTTATACAACGATAAAAGGACGCATTAGTATTTATTTTCCTCAGTTTATAAGCCAGTATCATACTAGTAAATATATATATATATATATGATATTATCCTGTTTAAAAAAGTTTATACATTTTTTTAACTAAAATAAAAATAAAAAATTCCCAAAAAACTGTTGGAAATATTGTTAGTTTTGGTTTTAATTAAGGTAAATTCAATCTGATATTATAAAAATTAATGAAGCTAAACAATTGATAAATTTAAACAACTTACACGAGTGAAGCATCTTTTAGAGGAATTATACACCTGTATAAAAACTACTCCTCTATTAGATATAACGCAATGTATTTTTTAAAACCTCGCTTAATATTAGATATTGATCTAACATAATATGACACCAAAACATTAATTTATAATCTATAACTAATTCATTTTCGGCCATAAATACTTATAATTAAACGTCACTATGATTTAAAAGACTTCACTCTCTTTTTTATAGTCTATCAAACATCAACAGTATATATTTCATACATATTAATGCTACTTCAATTTAATGTGCTTAAAATATTTTTAGGCTTCTAGAAAATTTGAAAAAGCAGCTACACAATTCTTAAAACGAACTCTTCAAGTTGCAAAGTCATTAAGACCAAATGCCAATTGGGGGTATTATGGATATCCATTTTGTTACAACTACACACCAAAGAATGATCAAGCAAAATGTTCATCAAATGTGATGAAGAATAATGAAAAGTAATGTACAATACTGCAAAGTTTATAATCTTGATTTTGAACTTTATTTTCTCTAATAAATCTCATAAATCCATTAAATTATTGATAATATGATTATTTTGAACTATTGATTGGAATATCTTGATAAGTAATATCGTATAATATTTTAAATTTCAATGGATGTACAATAATAATTGGAAATTTATTTGCCTTTTACAAATTTAATTTGTAAAGATAAATATGTATAATTTTTATAACAACCTAATTATAATACTAAGCAAAATGCACATATTTATGAATCTAATATCCTATATAATACTCTACTTTAAAATATACTAATAAATTGTTATTATATCATGTATATAAAAGAAACAAGTTAAAAGAATAAATAATAGTATTTAAACAAAACAAATAATATTTCTTTGTGCCTACTAAGATATATATTTATAAAGCCATCTTAGTATAAAAGTATATATTTATTTATAATTAATAATCTCAGTATATTTGGGATTTATTCGTTTGGATAAGTGAGAAATTCCAATTATTTGAAAGTTGGCATAAATGAAAAGAAAAATGTACAATGAAATTTAAGTTTCGCAAACAGTAATAATTTGCAATGGCGTATATGAAATAGACTCTTTTCAAAGCCATATTGTCAAGATGTATACAGTGTGTCTATGTATGATATAATATCTACTCGCATTCCGTGCACGTAAAAAATTATTTAGTGATTAATAAACAAACGTTAACAGATTTTGAAAGGAAAATATTTAGAAAAATGTGTAGAGAATTAATCTGGTAAGATACAGTATAAGAAAGAACGAAGATCTGTGACATTTATATATTGTATCTAATCTTAGAAAATGTATGTGATTAAAATAAGGTTATGAATAGTCAAAACACAAAGATATATAAAATACACATAGTAAGTTATTTAATGGAAAAATGTTTAGAATAAAACTATGTCATTTTTGGCACGACTCAGTGGTTAGAGAAATTTTAAGTGAATTAAGATATATAACTGATGATATAGAAATAGTAAAAGCGATTAGATGAAACAGAAAATTATTTAAATGGGCCACTTTAAATTTAAAAGAAAAGTTAGAGAATTTCACTTAATTACAAAAGGTGTACAATATTTTTCCTCCAAAACCCGGTTTAAACGTAAAACCTAAATTATTAAATTTTTGTGCAACACACTTCTGTTAAATAGTTAAATAAATATTTAATCAAATAATACATTTGTTATAGAGAGATTACAAGAATAATTAAAATAATTGATAAATATAGTAAAATAGTTCACATATTTTATATTCACCATAGTTGTTATTAATAATAACATGACTAATGCCTTATTGCTATAATTATTATAGCTACGTTTAAAGTATTTAATTAAAAGTAATTAATTTTTTTCCAACTATAAATAACATATTACATCCGAGTTTTTCAGTAAATTAAAGACATTCTTTTATTTTATTTTTTTACAAGAGGTACAATAATTTCTTATTAATTGTGAATATTATGCACGATTAATTACTGGTTTGTAAATCTGTGTTTAAAAACTATAATAAGTGCTTGAAATAATGGGAAATATTGAACTAGTAATTATTATTATTGAATTCTAAATATACTTACCATAAAATAATATTTGTTTATTGTAGCTTAAAAAATTATAGTAGGTAAATTAAAATCTTTTTAAAATATAATAGTTAAAGGTATCAAATATTAAAAATAAATATTAATTAAAAATTCTTATGCTACAAGTTAAAATACTAAAATATCTTAAAATATAGAAATATTAGTAAAAATAAAGTCTATTGGTAAATGGGTTAAATTTTAATTGATTTGGTATAAACGCTCAAGTAAAAACTGTTATTAATAATATGGTTAATACATTACACATATAATTAGTCGGAATCTTGTAGATCCATAAAAAATGATATAAAGGTACGTTCATAAATAATAAATATACACTTAAAAATATTAATCTGTTATAAAATATATAGCAATATATGACCTTACATTACTAATTTATTTCTTCAATAAATTATTTGTATATTAACTTAATTGTTTTTGTTTTATTTATTTATTATTATTATTATTTTTTTTTTTTTTTTGAAAACGATTGCTTTTGTGATCAGTATTATTTTTTAAACAAAGTATGATTCTTTCAACAATTTAATTTGATTTTTAATAATCTTGGGTCTTAAAAAAATATTTTTCTAAGTACCTAAACTATATATGTTGTATATGATGTTTAAAAAAAAACATAAATACTAGTTGAGATAATAAGTGATAGCTATGGTTCGGATTTGAAAGCAAAATTATCAATCAGTAAAAAAAGCATTTAAAATGTAAAAAAGAAAAAAAAGCATTTAAATTTTTTTTTTCTTGATACTTTGACGTCACAAATTTTACAGTATTAAACCAACCCATCGATTGAAAAAATATTTTCACAGAATTCTATAACATATTTTTTTAACTTAGAATTATAATTTTATTTAACTTTTGGTATGTTGAAAAACAGAATAAAATAAACGAACAAAAATTATAAAACGACAATAATTGCGGTCGACAAATGCGGACTAACAAACAATTATAAATTTACGCTTTATGAACATATTCTAATCTATACGTAGGTGTGTAGTATGGATATTTTGATAAACGCTAAATTACGCTAAAAAATAAACGGCCATATCAAAAACTCGATAAAGTATTTAGCGATATCTATAAGTAATAAATATTGCCGATAATAAAACCCATTCAAAATAATTTTAAATATAATATCGATAATACACAGTCTTCATAAACTGGTAATTCGTATGCCGTGTATAAAACTATCAGATCAATTGAAAATTAAACACAAAAAATAAATAAATAATATATCCATCGTCTTAAATATTAAATGAAACAAATTTTTTGTAGAAAATTATTTTTCTATTATTTCTATTAAAAAAAATAGGTTTTTGCCTTTAAATCCGAACCTTAGTGATAACTTTTAAGAATCACAATACATTCCAACATTTAATCTCAAAAAGTTTTTTTTTTAATTATTATTAATAATAACATTTTATTTTATTTATTGGTACTTTGTATTTCCTAAATTAAATTAAATTTTTCTCATCTAATAATACGTAGTTCGACATAATTAATATTATAATAAGCGGAGACAATTATAAAAAATACACAATTTTGTGTTACTTAATAATTGTATTATTTATTTTCGTAGATCAAAATGGTTATTTGAAGAAAGTACAGCTATTTATCCATCTTTATATTTTAAATACGAAAATATGAGTTCAGAAAAGAGATCTAAGTTTATGCAAGGCAGAATGGTAGAAGCAATACGTGTGGGGAAAATGAGCAATTCAAAAACATTTATTTATCCATACACATGGATAAAATATTATGACACAAAACAATTTGTAGAGAAGGTAATTATAATTTCAGGATACAATATTATAGTTCACAACACACAGAGATAATAAATTTTAACATAATTTAATAAAGATTAAATTTAAAAAATATTTTAATAAAAATAAAAATTTGATCTTGAGAATAAATTATAATGTTAATATATGCATACAAATAATGGAATTCAACGCATTTTCGTTATGTATTCTGATATTTAACCAACAAAACCATATCTGGTCGTATTTATTATTTTACATTACGTTTCATAACGCTATAAGGATAACATTTAAAAAACGTTAATTACAACAAAAAAAAGTCCAACATACTTGGCACGTGAAGATTATGTTTATGTCATATTAAGTAGACACTCGAGTCAGTGTATAATAATTTCAAAATATTTTAATAATTCATGTATTTTAAAACAACGATTATAAACTATACTTTAATTTTTTTTCTTTATTTTTATTTTTTTGAAAATTTGAAAATACCTGTAAATTTTGTAAAATGTTGTTTTTTATAGCTATTTATTAATCACATGCGAAATGTTAAAATAAAAAGAATTTTTCTAAAAATAAACCGTAAAAATAAATTGCTATAACTTTTTACTAAAACTGATATCATAGGTATTATTAAAATTTATCAATTTTATTGTTTTAAAGTTACTAAATTAAATACAACTATATGACGCTGATTAATTTTATTTTGAATTTATAAGCAATAATAGTAACTAATAAGTAATAAGTATTTATTATTATAAGCAGGGCTTTGCACCCAAATTAACCAGAACCCTTAACACCCCTAAAACCCTTTAAAAAATCAAACACCCGAAACCCATATAACCCGAATGATTCTGTTTTTTAAGCACTCAAATTAACCAAAACCCGAATAATTTTTTTTTTACAATTTTCATGTGATATATTATTTAGTATGTATTTCTTGTGGTTAGTCCAATTTTATAGTTAATAGCTTAATGCTTAATAATAACAATAGTACCTATTAATAAAAACAATTTTAAAATCAATTATTAGTAAATTTATTAAATATTTTCTTAAAAATAAAAATTCAATAAAATCATCAATAATTGATTCTAATAAAGTCAAATTGCCTGATACTAAATTATTCCTCATAATATATGCCTATATAATATATATATGTTATGTCAGGTTAACTATGTAATTAATAGAATGTATTTTATTTGCTGTGGACTATACGAGTATAATTGTCAAATATTGACAATAACTACCGATAATGCATGTGATATGGTTAAAATGGTAGAATGACTAGAATGTATGAGTAATATTGATAAAGGTAAGATAATGTTCATAAAATATTTTGGCATAAAATCTATTGTAATTAGCTGATGCTCCAAATATGCAATCATGTATTTATGTACCTACTTTGTTATACATCTGTTATGTAAAAGTTCATTTACATAAAGGACAAAGACTTTAATGACTCCAATAAAATAAATGGATACCTACCTAATAATTTCCCATTATTTTGGTTCTTTTGGTTTCTACGTTATAGTTTATAAGTATGTTTGATTTATTAAAATACATTTTGCGCATTCGAGTTAGGAATTTATATTTTATTATAAAAAATAAATCAGATTTTTAAATTTTTTATGGGAGGGTTTTGTAAAGCCTTCAATAAAATTTAAATAATTTTATTTTTTTGAGACACCCATATTAACTAATATTAACCCGTATAATAATAGTTATTAAGACCCAAAGGTTTATTTAAATTTTTTATTTCGATATTTGAACGGGCGCGTGGTCCTTATCGGCAGTACCCTTTTAGGCGTACGATTGCGCGCGCTAAATTATTTTTACTTTTAAGCAACGATGCCTTATTTCTAATACCAGACAAACTTTCCATCACTAAGTTGTAGTTGGTTATATTTTAAACCATACTTAATTTAATGGATCAGAATTATTGTCTTTATTGTAAATTCCCATTCATGTACGAATATACCTATACTATAATTGTGCATGATATGACCATGCTAATAAAAGTCTTAAAAAATAAATTTTATTTACTATAATATGTTATTTATTTTTAAAACTACAAACGGGACTGAAAGTTTTCATAGTACACGTAACGCATAGTTTAATAGTGCTCATCCACCGATATCTGTTGTAATAACTACCCTCTTATAAACGCAGGTAGAAACATTTACTATATTATCAATCATTTTCAAAAGAATAATTAAACCAAAGTCGAAGGAAAAATTAAAGAAAATTAAATTTATCTGTAAGCAACACAAAGATTATGTAAAGATAAACCACCAGAAAATATACTTAAATATTTGGCCATAGTTGGAAATATGTATCGGAGCTTTAAAATATTTTTATCCGTATTTAAATATTAAAAAAAAATTATGATAAAACTTAATTTTTTTTTGATAAAAAATTTGGCTACGTCGCACTCGATTCAATTTCATGTGCAATCATACGCCTTTGAATAATTAAAATCATGCCCATTTTTATTCTCGCATTGCGCGCAATCCTATACCCAAAAAGGTAAAACGCGCGCAATCGTACTCTGTCGATTTGAACACCTGAATACATCTAGCACCCAAAACCTGAAACACAAATAAATGATTCGGGTGCAAAACCCTGATTTTAAGATCAAATTTGTAAATAGAATAGATATAACGAAAATTGAATAGCATCATAAAAACGTATGCTTTTTTTGTCGTTATATTTTTCAAAACACTAATGTGTGATGTGGGTATTATGAAAAAAATTCTGAAACTAGTCAGTCTATTTAATTGTAACTTAAATAAAATAATTAATTAAAAAAGAGAACTTTTTTATTTATGACATTAAAAAAGTAACAATTTTAAATTAAAAAAAAAAAATGTACACTTTTATTCTTTGTTTTACTAATAAAGTAAGACCAAATATAATATGAATAACCAAAGAAGAAGCCGACGTTGTAATTCGCATTATATACGATTACTATTAAGAAATAATATTAGTCTTTAGATGGTATCATGTCATTCAAACTAAATCAATCTCTAAGTAATAGTTTTATTATTTTAAAGAGAATAACCTTGTGTTTTTTTTCTCATTCTCTTAAATTATATTTTAAGAAATTATTTATTGTTATTAGTTATAACTGTATTTTAACTTTTAAGACCATTTCTATTTGTTAGTCACAGTATTAAGTAAATCTATATGGTAAAAGGGAATAGAAAATTTTTAGTGAAAACCAAACATTATATTGCTTATTTTAACCTTAGGAATTTTTTTTATATTTATTTAGTAATCGCAATAATTTAATAGTTTTGTACCACTTAATTTGAGTTGTATGCATTTTATAAATAACTATTTAAACGTTGTATTTTTAATAAAGGTAGTATTATAGTAAAACCTTTATAAACTCATTTTTAAACGACAGTTAATATACTCGTATATAGTACATGTAGTAACGTTTTGCGCCGGTTTTGACTTTCTGTTCCTTCTCAACATATAAAACATTAATTTATGGATTTGTCACTATAGGTTTGCTCTTATTCAGTTAAGACGTCAAAATGATATATAACTTATCACTTTTATTTGATTTTATTCTAATGTCATTTTCAGGCCGATCTGATGAATTCGTTTTCAATACCAAAGAAAAATTATGCATCCGGTGTGATCATTTGGGGAGCTTCCAACGACGTAAACAGCGAAAAGAAATGCAAAGCAATGCACAACTATTTGACTGGAGTTCTCGGGCCTACGCTAAAAACGTTTTATAAGAGCAACAGGAAAACGATTCAGAGAAAAAGAAGAGCGAAGATTGACAGTATATTCGATTACTTCTTATAAACTCCCGCCGAAGTACTGTCGCTGGATAGCCTCTTTAATTCACGCACATCAACCAAAATAATAATAATGTTATTATGTAAATTATGCTTATACTAATACCAATTATTATTATTATTATTATTATTATTATTATTATTATTACTGTGAAACTATCAGTTAAGCTTATTGTACCATACGTGTATAGATTGTTAAATAGTCTTTATTAAAAATAATAATAAAAAAAACTTCTTATAAAAACTAAATCAAATTAATTTGAGAGGCCATAAAAAGAGTTATTTAAGGGCAATCTATAGTATTATATACATTTATTTACACTGATTACATACTATGCAAAGTATTTATTAACACCCCAGAGTTACCTAGATTTGTAAACGAAGTATGATTACAGTTTCGTACTATCATTTTATTAGATAATAATGTTATGTGTATATACTAAATAGTATATTATATTATATGTTGTATTAAGATATTCTAAAATATTGATAAATTATTTATTTTGTCAAAATTAAGGCGTATATTTTATTATTTTCCTTAAAAGCTTAAAGCGTAAATTCATGATTAGTGATGACTCAAAATTAAACATAGACGAATTAGCTTAACACGCTATTGAATACCATAAGGAACGTATGAAAAATTATAACTAAATATCAGTTTTTATTAATTTATTATTTCATAATATTGTACATAATGTTAAAATGTTAATCATTTTTACATATATATATATATATATATATAATATTAAAAATATACTATACGTATCGCACTTTACTTGTAAATAATTATTCTAATTGATATGTAATGTTAAGTGTACTTGACACTCATTAATAGCGTATATGTATATTGTTGGTGCTTAATGTTCATGCATGCGTATCCACGGTGAAAATTTGTAATAAATAATAAGGTACCTATAAGGTAATAATATCTAATCTATAGAAACGGTCAATTATGAAAATGAGAGAAAAACAATTTGTTCTTATAAAACTATATCAATTAAAAATAATACTATAAATACTATACCTACACATAATCAGAATATATTAAACACATACGAAAATACTATAAATTTAATGAATAAAGTAATATTTATATCCTTCTTGCACGTGTTTCGTTATTCTAAGCGTGGTTAGTGTGGGAGCTTTATTATATTACAACATACGATTGTGGTACTTAAATACAATCACAAACAAATATCTTTGCAAATATTTTAAAAGTAGAATATTATAATATTATTATCGCCTAATAAATATTTACAGTTATTATAGAATCATATGTATTCGCAATACGAATAACGAATGAAATATACGTCTGCAGGGGCCGGTACTCCGACGCGCCGTCATCATCGTGGTGAAACGCAAAACACGTTAGATGTGAGACATTGCAAATCACGCATATATTATACAGAGTGATTCGCTGAGTATTTAATACCTTATAAAGTAATTACAGTAATAATTATTGAGATTCTAAATTTTGAACTTTTTAGGTTCTTATTGAGGGTATATGTACGTACTTTAAGACTATAATATTTTAAAATTTTTAGGTTGTTTTAACATTTTTGAAGAGTTACATAAGATGAAAAATGAATTTGTTTTTTTACACGAAACACATTTTAATGTAATAATTTATACCTCAGAATCTGAATCTGAACAATTTAAATTTAGGAAAAAGTTTTATGTTTGTAAGAAATGTTCACTAAATATTAATTTATAAGACTAAATATTTCATCTACTTTATAGTTTATTACGTAAAACTTAGTTTAAATTTAGATGCATCAACGTTTTCAAAATTATTATATGACTTTCAATTTAAAAAGGACGGTGGTTATTTGAAAAAAGGTTGTTCTGCTATAGTGCACTCATCAACGATACAAAAATATCTATTTTAAAATCTGGTTTTGAAATTTATTTGAAAATTTTAAAAATCAGAATTTAAATACATGCATTATCAAAGGATAACAAATGTTCACGACCATGCTAAGCTAGTCACTCCGTATACTTACGCGGTGTGTGTTCTCACGTATACGTACGCACCCATCAAAACTTTAAAAAACATACTAAGGTAATTGAATGATGGCAATCAGTAATTATACACTTTAAAAATATTTAATTTTTATCTAGAAGATTTATAAAACGCGAAATTATTTTAATTTCTTTTATTTTGGCCTTAGTAAACTTAGCTGTATTTTTCTATGGGCTAGGTACCTACTACAGTATATGAATCACATAAATGTCTAGTCATTATTACAGCAGTGATAAGTATTTCAAAAATATTAATTATAAAATGTTATTGACTCGCTGACATAAACATGGTGAGACACTATAACGTGCATAATATATTTTAACTACGACGGCATGTTAGCTGTCTATTCGCCGTATAAAAATATGGTGCACATGTGCGGTATATTTAAATAGTAAGTGGATAGAGTATAGAATATAGTACAATTGTGTGTATATAATAACTTCATCCAGATGACTTTTGCACGTGTATTTAACCACATAGGTATAGCCATATTTAGTATATTGTCGTGGAACATGATAGGCACTTAGAGAAGAGATTACCTATGTATATAAATATTAGATTTAATATAGGACACATGTTTATAAATCTTCTGTGACACTATACAACCCAGTGGCAAATATTATTCTAAAGAGTTCAAAGGGAAATATATATATTATATTGAAAATAAACGACATAATATTCTTTAGAATAAAATCAATTGCTTGACGATTTAATGTTAAACGATTATCATTATTATATAAATAATATAATTATTATCTTTAGTTCGTTTCCGCAAACATGATCGATCTGTATTTATGTAATACAATTCTATTTAATTAAAATAAAATGTAAATTGTAGTAAAATGTATAAAAAATAATTTATTTTTTATTTTAGAACAATTGTATAACTTAGAAAGGTATTAATTATTTAATTTTTAAACTTTCTAAATGATTAGATGGTAGTGTTAGATTACACAGGTACAATATATTGCGGTAAAATAAAAATTATTTTCTTATTCAACTTAAATATCTTTAACTAATTATTTGATAATTTTTAATAATAATAAGTTATAAAAGTAGTGATTAAAAAATACGTTTTACACTAAAAATCATAAGATAATATTTTTTAATAAATTTTGAATTTATGCTTGAGGCATTACATCGATTTTAACTTAATGCGTAAGACAAAAACTAAGTTTAAAATAAATGTTCAAGAGTACAAAAAAGTCAGTTTTATCGTATAAATGATAAATTGGTGATATAAATATCTAATATTATAAATAATGATCTATTGTTAATTTAAAAATATAATAGAATCTTATTACAACTTAATGAAATGAAAAAATATGGTATTAATCCATAAGTAACGAAAATCATTCATCGTCGATTATTGATAACTATTTAAAATTTATAAATAAACGGTTACATTATTTTGCAACTATTTATCATAATTATAAATAATGGTGCCTGCGTCATTTGTCCGTTTATCGTTGTTAGACTTAGACATAATACAAATATACAATAATATACACCTCTGATGTCTAGACGTGTTTTTAGAAATCGACGAAAATAATCTAATAAATAATTTTATACCTACGCAAAATACTATCGCCTCCCAAATTAATATACTGACATTCGCGGTTTACTGTTTGCAGGTTCGCAGAAATATTAATAACAATAATATGAAAAAAAAAAAAGAAGAAGAAAGAAAGAAAAAAAAGAAACACCCGTCTACCATCTGTACAGTGTACCAATGTCAATGTCATGACAAAAATTGCTGACTTCAACGTTACATCCGGTAGTGATACTCAGGTTTACACTTCGTGTGTTTGAAAATTTTGCTTTCTGCGGTACACCAATAATAATAGAAATGATCAATATCAATACATTTGAAAAGTGCACAACCTCATTGAGTATACCTACCTTCAAGACGTAATAAACGTCAGAATGTTTTTATGATGTTGATCATTATAAACACTATATTTGATGAAAAAACTATAATCAATACCCTACGAAAAATAAATAAAATATACCTACAAAGTTTTTTTTAAATATTATATTACCTACCTATATACTATACATTTTGCATTTATGTTCAGAACAAATACGGAGTAAAACGATAAAGTAATATTTTCGAATTGACCGATTATTATTATCAATACATCTCAATGGTCATAAAGTATTTAATATTTATTTAACCAACTTAAATTGTATGTGCTTAAAAATTATGTACATAATATATTTTCCAAATTCGTCAATGTATTCTGTGTATTTTTACCAGAATTCAATATGAAAAATTAAGTATGACCACTATATATTATATTGGTTATATTTTATTCAAAAACCAGAATTTTAAATTCTACGATATGTTATAATTTATAAAGTATAGTTGATCAATATTAATAAAATATACATACGTGAATTATGTATAGCTTATTTAACTTATTTATATTAGTATAGCCTATAGGTATACCCACTGTAATGCATCTTCCATAGATCATGATTTCCTTTGCTATGGTAAACCATATTATTTGAGTTAAAAAAAATCCATATAGGCATAATATTTCTCTAATATATATTTTATTAAAATAATTGCTCATCAATATCAAATTAATTGAATTAACTAAATTAACTCATAATTTAGATACCCATTTTTAACAAAATTAATATAAACAAGAAAAGAATTACACTAATACTACCTATCATAATCGAAAAAATAATACAAATACCAAAATTAACAATAATTTAAGACAAATAATGATATAGCTGGTAAGAAATTAGTTGAAGTTTTAATTACTTGTATTATAAATATTCATGTTATTAAAATATTTAAATCAATACAAATACACAAAAAGAAAAGCATTCATTATTCATTCGAAAAACAAATTGTTCGTCGGTTATAAAAGTTTACAAAAAGTTGAACAAAAATATGAATTCGCATAGTTTAACGATTTTCAAAAAACAATCTTCTTATACCGCGAAAAGAGATTAGGATTACGGTAATAAATTAGTTTTTCCGTAGTCTTCATCTACAAAACTACAAAAACCATATTTCATTATGCTTATTAGCAATTTGCAACGACATACATAATCTTAAAAAATAATATCTTCAAATGTTTCTGAAATCGTATCTTTATTCATTCATAGAAGGAAGAACACACATTTGAATTCATCAAATCTGCGATCCAGCGCAATCACTTCCGATAAATTTAATGATAAATTTCTTGGTATTGAATATTATATATTAATGTTCATGATATCATAATTACACTATAGGTATGCACAGTTATCTTTTATCATTACAGACTAAGATAGCGGATAAAGATATATTCATTAATAATGATGTAAGACTGCGTGAATTTGTAACTCAAACTTAAAAAATTGACTGAAGAGTAATTACAACTTACAAGGTTGCAAATAGTTACAAATTAATTGTAAAATATT